CTCTGTTTGTCCGATAGGCAAACTGAAGAGGGTCCAGTGTGTCAGGGAGGGAGGAGCAGATGTGACCTTTGACCAGCCGCTCCAGGCACTTCATGATGACGGATGTCAGTGCAACAGGACGGTAGTCATTCAGACAGGAGACCACTGATTTTCTGGGAACGGGAATGATGGTGGATGCTTTGAGGGACGTGGGGACCACTGACTGCCTCAGGGAGAGGTTGAAGATGTTGGTGAACACCTCTGCCAGCTTGTCTGCACACACTCTGAGTAGCCGGCCTGGGATGCCGTCCGGTCCTGGAGCTTTGTGAGGATTGACCTTTTTAAAAGTCCATCTCACTGCTTCTGTTTTCAGAGTTAAAGTTGCAGCCTCACTGTCCTCCTGAGGGTAGAGGATCTGCTCTCTGTTGTCTGCGTCAAAACGAGCATAGAAGTTGTTAAGCTCATCTGCGAGAGATGCAGTGGGCTGAACACTGCCTGTGTTGTCCTTCTTGTAGTCAGTGATGCAGCTACCAGTCGCCTGGTGTCAAAGCTGTGGTAGCTGGACTCCATTTTGTTCCTGTAGTCCTTTCTGGCCTTTTTTATGGACTTTCAGAGGTCGTACCTGGCTGCTTTATATGCATCAGCATCCCCGGAGTCAAAGGCAGAGGTCCGTACTTTTAGCTTGGCGCGAACATCTTTATTTACCCAGGGTTTCTGATTTGGATATATGCGGACAGTGGTTTTTGTGATGGTATCATCCATGCACTTTCCAATATATCCAATGACAGAGTCTGTGAGTTCATTGATGTTGCCGTCAGCTGCATCCACAAATATCTGCCAGTCAGTTGTCTCAAAGCAGTCCTGCAGGACCTCCTCAGCCTCACTGTCCCATTTGTAAATAACCCTGGAAGCTGGTTTTTCCTGTTTCAGTCTTTGTCTGTATGCAGGCAGCAGCAGTATGGAACAATGGTCTGCCTTACCAAAATCTGGGCAGGGGAGGGGTTTGTAGCACTCTTTGAATGGAGTGTAACAATGGTCCAATGTTTGATCACCTCTTGTGGGGAAGGAGATGTGCTGATAGTATTTGGAGAGAACCTTCTTCATGTTGGCTCTGTTGAAGTCTCCTAGCATAGCATCTTATAGTAAAGATTAAGAATTTGGGATGCTGGGATGCTGGATCACTGCCTCTCTTTCTCATTTCCTTTCAACCTGCTTTCTAATAAAGCTTATAACATTTAAAAAGAAAACAAACAAACAATCAATTTAAAGAGGCAACAATGCAAGACTTTTATCTACTGCACAATACTTAAACCAAGCTCCTTTTCTGCTTCAGGTCAGGCTATGGGAGGTACACTGAGTGCTTTAGCCTCAATAGCGGACCTAGCCATAGCTAAGGATGTGACAAACAGCGCTCTGGTCTATTTCCTCACGGCGGATGTCTTCATTCTGCTTTGCATCATCACATATTTGCTGTTGCCCAGGCTGGCATATTCAAGGTCAGTAGTTCTGGTTTCCATGTGGTTAAATACACCACCAACCACATCTGTATTTTGAACGTACAAATGTGCTTTTGTGTAGTTTATATCATTATTTGTGATTTCACCTGAACCAGTGTTCGTGTCATACACAGGGTGGGTTTAAAAACCCCTCAAAACAATTATTAAATTAACCTGACTGTCATTTTGTCCATATTGTATTTTTAGTTAATGCATTAAATGCATGTGAAATAAATGTATTTAATGATGAAGCAACTATAAATCAATAATAATAACAAACCTGTTCCAATTCACCATTTTTATTCTTTAGACACTACATGGCATGCAGTAGTCCAGGTGGGATGAGCGAGGATGAAGGTGCTGGAAACAAAACCCCACCTCTGCGACCCATCCTTAGGAAGATTTGGCTGCTCGGACTGAGTGTCTTCTATGTCTTTTCTGTCTCCATCATGGTATTCCCTGCTGTATCCTCAGGAATACAGTCTGTTAACAAGGATAGTGGCAGCCCCTGGACAACCGCTTACTTTGTGCCTCTTAGCTGTTTCCTCCTGTACAACGTAGCAGATTTATTTGGCAGGATGGCCACAGCCTGGCTGCAGGTCCCTGGTCCCACAAGTAAAGTCCTGCCTGTGCTGGTGCTGTGTCGCTCCGTTATGGTACCACTCCTCATGCTCTGTAACTACCAGCCAAGGGATCACCTCCTTACGGTAGTGTTCAATCATGATGCGTATCCGGTGCTCTTTAACTCCCTGCTGGGTCTCTCTAATGGCTACTTAGGCACACTGCCAATGATCTACGGCCCAAAGGTGGTACATCGAGAGCTGGCAGAGGCCACAGGAGTGATCATGTCTTTCTTTCTCGCTCTGGGACTGGCTGTTGGATCTGCATTGTCTGTGCTCATCGTGCACTATATCTGATCAGGCTGGTACACAGTAACCTGGTCATGTTCAGGTGAATCAGAACTGCAGCATGCACCAGTAAAGTCAGGTATCTGCTCAAGGGGAGTTGCCAATAAGCTTTTCACTTGACCAACATGCCTTAATTTCTTTATACCTCGCATTAATATGTTTACATTTATGAAGTGATTTGCAATCACAACTGATTTTAAAATTGTAATTTGTAAATCAGATGACAATTTTGGAGTACTCAGTAAATTGTAAAAATGACATTTACTCTTTTTTTTAAAATAAGGCTTTGGGTGAAAATACTTGGTTAAAGGATTTCGAACATGTGGCTTGATCCTGTCTACCTGCTATAAACCTCGACACGTTTTGATGAACAGTTTTAAAAAAAAAATCTACATGCTGTGGTTTGCCTTACTTCTCACAGTATTGCTGTACTACATTACTACTGGCTGTATTGATGGACAACAAATAAAGCTCTGGGAGAGGTTTTATTTGTGAGGATCATTAGTTTTTAATAAGTACACCATTGTCTTGTCAGAGACAGTTCCATACTTTCCTCGCAGCTTCTTTAATCTGAGTCTCTAGCATTTTTTTCAGGTTGCAGCAGACAGCACACAAAGCTTTAGAGCAGAGCTGATCGAGTGCAACAGCAAAGAATAGGCCCAGCAAAGACTCAAACACCCACTGGATGGTGTGTATATTGGACTTTATTTGTATTGCTATCAAGTTTTACACCTTTTCCAAATAATAAACACTTTCCCTCCACTGAGACAGGTTTTCCTGTTTTGTCTTTTCCACAAGATATTTTGCTTTTAACAATGTGTCCCTAGTGGGGGTTTGAATTAAACTTTCTACTGTACAGGATAGTCTGGGCATTGGGTTACCAGAACTGTTCTCCACTAATTTTAACCATTTATTACTGCAGCAATTTTTTTATCATGTAGAAAAACAGACTGAAATTGGATTCTTAAAGATATCTCAGCAATTAAATGTGTAAGCATCTTTTTACAGGTTCAGTCCACACAACACCATCTAATAATCAGAAGGTTGGAGTTTCGATCCCTAGCTGCTCCAGTCTGCATGCTAAATTTCCTTGGGCAAGATACTAAATGTCACTTTGATGGATCCACTGGAGTGTGAACATTAGAAAGCATTAAAAGTAAAGGACCTATATAAATGAGGAATGCTGTGTGAAGATTTGGGTGCTAAGGCTGAGTTAGAAAAGCGCTATATAAGAACCAGTCCTTTCACCATAGTAAGTTTGAGGGAAATTCCAGTCACAAGGGGAAAAAAAACAAACAAACAATAGATTGGGAATCGCTTTATTTGTTAAAAAGTTTGCACTGTAACAATTACCTCAGCGTTTCAAGCAGACATTTAATTCTGAGAAGTTTTTAGTGCATTAGAAGCACACAGATTTACAAACAGTTAAAGAGTGAACTCAAATTACACTCTGATTAACCTCCAGTGTCAGCTCATAAAAACAACGAATCTCTCTACAAAATATAAATGTTTCAGAGAAATTTATTACTGCCAATTTACAGATTAACTAATGAACTGAATCATTTGTATTTGCAAAAAGTACTACCATAGAGAAAGCAAATGTGAAAATTCTTCTCGTTCTTATTTTCACCTCTCCCAGTAAGAAAAACCAAGTGCAACTCAAACGATGCCAATTTGAAAAAGCAGACAGTGAAGCAATTGTGTGCCACTATACATGTAATTACTCCCCCCTGCCCATTAATCCAATACTTCGTTGGAGGGGGAAAAGAAGAAAACACTAGTCCCTTTCCACCATAACATCATTTAAAATATCAAAGTTAATTTAAACACAAAAATGAACAGTGGGATGCAGCACTAGAGTATTTCTGTTGAATTCCCTACAGGTCAGTTTGTATGGGTCGTCCTCTATACCCACACATGGCGTTGGCAATGAGCCACGGCCTGAAAGACAAAAACAAGTGGTTGGAGAGACGTATTAGAGTAAGGTTGAGCTTAAACAGTTTACAATCACAGTTCCAGTGGCATTATGACACCAAATGGTTAATAAGAAACTCAAAAATATGTTTAATCAAATTTCAAACTACTCACATTGCACTGTTGTGCGGTCTCCATGTTCTTGCACCAGAATGAAGGTCCCCAGCTGCACTGCTCTGTCCCCAGCAGTCTGTGTGCAGCACCAGGGCAGGCTCCCAATTTCTAGAACACACGCAAATAAACCTCAGATGTTAAAAACTAAGCTGCAGGTATGCAGTTTAAGCCATAACAATCTCATTTACTGCTAATGACCAAAAATGTTTACATTTCAGCATTCAATGTAAGCTGTATGGTTTTTGGAGTTAAAAACATTCCCATTTCAAGGTTTAATCCTTTAAAAGTCCAGTGAAACATACTACCAGTTAACTTTATTATCATTTTGAAATAAGTAATCCTTTTACCATGCACACAAAGTCTGGGTCAAGCATCTCGAGCAGCAGCTGGACAAGAATTGGCTCATACTGTTGAACCAACTGGTCACACTGTTGACAAACCACAGTTAAAATGTAAGGGTGTCACATGAGGACAGGTAAAAGAGTTCCACAAGATTAATTAGCACATCTACTCACCTCAGTCTTGTAAGAGTCAGGCAGAAAGTTGCATACTTTTCTCACAGCTTCCTCAATCTCAGCCTCTGTTGCATTCTTCTCCAGGATGCCGTCGATGTAACTGACTGCAGCTTTACACACCTCACAGTAGCCTCCGACCTTAAAGCGGGGCTTGTCAAGTGCAACTGTGAAACAGTTTTAGGAGTGATTATCCATCCATGTATTTAAATGCTTAAATGTTTAGCCCTGCAACAGCCTGGCAATCTGTCCAGCGCTGCCCTTTTGCCTTAGGGTAGCTAGGATAGGCTCCAGCTAGCTAAAGCACAATGTACATCTGCATAGAGCGTGCTCTGAAGACTAAGAACTTACCAACATATGCACGTCCTTGACCATTGCAAAGTCCCAGCACTGTGCAGACAGTTTTGGGATCAGCCTCCTGCACAAGCAGATCAATGATAGCCTGACCATATGTCTCAATCAGATCTTTGCACTGGGAACTCAAAGAGGAGGGCAGGATTGAGCACACTTGCTCCACAGCGTGAATAATCTCCTCCTGCACAGGACAAACAGGTTAGTCGGTCAGCAGAGCAAACCACACCAGTATTATGTTGGCAGCAGTTTGTAGCTTATTTTTATGATCATACTGGACATATTAAGTGTTACACAGCCCACCTCTGTAGAATGTTGCTGCAACATGCTCTCCAACTGTTTCATCACATACTCGCAGACGGTACAGGTTGGGGAATCACGGACACGGACCATGGGCTGGACACAGGGTATGGCTCATTAGCATGTGCAATATACTGCTATACAACCATTCTTTAATTATCTTTTTTTTTTTAAACTAAAATAAATATCAAATACAAAAATCAAGATTAACCACTGTACACTATCCAACATACTATACCTTGCCAGACGTTTCTGCAGCAGAGTCTACCTTAGTGGCAGGGAAAAGCTTGGCGGCAGGGAAAACCTTGGCGGCGGGCACAGTCTTAGCGGCCTGAAGTGTCATCATGGGAATGGATTTCTTCATTCCAGTACAAAAGCCAACAAAGGCACAGATTTCTCTGGGTTGCTGAGGAAGAAAGCCACACAATTACTCAGGATTAAAAGCCAAAGTTTGTTTTGTTTTTGTAAGTAATTTAAAAGTAAAATTTCATGCTGAAAGCATAAAAGTTCCACATTGCCACCATGCAATATGCAGGAGTTTTTATGCACATACACCTACTACATCTTTGTTTTACCAGCACACACACACTGCAACACACACACACACTCATGGTGACACAAACTGTCATTTCACGTGCAGCATGAAGAACCAGGAAAGACCGGTGCAGCTCATAGCTGACTTAATTCTGTAAACTAACATAACCTAGGCACATATCACAAGAACCAAGTAAACTGCATGCTCTGACTGTGGCCCTACTCCATAGTGTTCAAACAGGCACCAAAGTGTCAGGTCATTAACCAAACAAGCCCAGTGTTCAAAAAGAGTATAATTAGACCATCATTCGCACGTGTCTCAAGAGCTAAGGGTTAAAAGGCTACAGGCTGAACACAGAATGACCTACCTGTTCCTGGGGAGCAGCATACAAAACCCAGAGTAGGAGAAAACAGAGCAAAAAGACATGAATGGAGAGGAGAAAAGTAACAAAGGAACACAGGCGAAAAACAAACAAAGTAAGAAGATAAAATTTGAAAAGAGCACAAGCGAACATGACCAAGTTTAAGTCAGCAGGCCAGGTGGTGCTGTTCTACAAAAATGTCTTGCTGCATTTGCTTCTAAGCTTAAGTACTACAATGAAATAACTATTAAAGCCACATTGTAGCTTCAAAAAGTCAAACAGAAGGTTAAAGCACATCATCAAAAGGAACCAGAAGACTCACCATAGACATGAGCTGCTGAACAACCAGGGTTCCATACTGGCTAACATATTGCTTACACTGCAAAGACAGAAGTATAGGTATTAGAAAAGCTTTGTTTTTCTCCCTCCTGGGTGTGGTGAAGAAACCCACACATGGGATCCCACGTGTAAATATCCCACACGTGGGATATTTACCTGGTCAGCCAAGCCTGGCCCCAGCATATCACACTGCTTCTCAATATTCTCAATGAGAGAGTCGATAAATGAAGAATTGGCTTTGGCCTCTGCCTGAGCATCAGTCAGTAGTTTGATGCAGTCCTGGCACACTGTATCAGTTTCCTACAAGAAAGACAGGCAAGTTTCAGTGCCAAATAAAGAGTACACTTAACAGCAGGTGTTGAGGAAATTTCAAGCTTACCTGCTTTGGAGACTCTTGTTTGGGAGCCTCCTCTTTGGGGTTCTCCAGAGGATAAAGGAGCCCGGGCACATTGAAGAGGAAGGGAGACACTTGCTGGGAAAGGTCAACCTGAGGTATTTCATTGGACAAGAGCTGCTGCTGGGCCTGAACCTTAGCCAGGGCTGCCTGCTGTGACTGACAGAGTCCCATGGCTCCACACACCACGCCAGGATCATCCTAATAAACACAACTTCATATTACTTTCAATACCTTCCCCATTTTAAACTCCCTTTGACCAAAACACTTTGCTTCCCACACACATTAGCCTAAAGAGAAGTGAAATCATTTAAGTCAACCGCGCTTAAATTTAAAAAAAAAAAAAAGTCTGCATTTCCTGTGTAGTATTTACTAAACCATTTACTGGTTTAGTAAATACTAAATGGAGTCTCCTTTTTCCCCCCAAGAATGCTGTAGCAGGTGTGCGTTAAGACAACTATACTAAATGCTCCTAGTCATGGGTTTAGTATTGCACAATGACTACTCTGTTCCCATTTAGACTTAAAACTCATTTCCCCATCAATAGGCCTTTTTAAGCTGGGTGCACTCTGGTCACACAACCACTTCTGTTTCCCTTTAGAAAGAAAGAAGTAACAGATGGGATATTTACTTACAGTCTTAATAAGAGCAGAATGATAAATGCACAGACAAAGCAAACGACGTTTAAAAGAATCTATGGGTTATATTTGAAAGCATTCAATATGGTTCAAAATGTAAACCTTATGACAGTATAACTCTAAGGCAAACTCAATAATGAATGTTTTTTCTGTCCAAATGCTAAAAGCCCAGATGGCCGCCTATATTTAAAGTTAAAGCTTGCACAAACAGATTCAAGAAGCTCACCAGTTCTCCCTTGATGATTCCCATGAGAATGGGGAAGTAGTCATCCACCCTCTCTTTGCACTCTTTACTCAAATCTTGATCAGGGATGAGCTGGCAGGCCTTCTCCAGGTACCCTAGGATCTCAGCCTGCAGTCACAGAAATATGCAAATATCAATGTTTCAATCTTAGTGTGGTTGCAGGAAACTCTTATTAAAAAAAAACAAAAAAAAAAACAAGTTGTGGATCTTTTGGCCTTACCTCAGTGGCATTCTCCTTCAGTACTTGCCCAACCACAGTCAGAACCTCTTTACACAGCTCACATGGCACAGATTTCTGAAACCAGAGAATTGAGTGTGTAAATAAAAAGCTGCTAAAAAAATGTTTTAAGTAAACCAAAGCTCCCAATACAAAAAAAAAAAACAATTCATATTTGCCTAACTACACATTTCAATGTAGGAGAAAGCATAACAGAACAGTTTGCCATTTGGGGAATTAAAAAAATATATACAGGTCACTCACCATCTGGGGCTTGTTCCACACATTCTGCTGGCAGTGAGTCACAGCTCCACACAGAGATGCAGTTTTCACATTGTTACACCAGTAGGGGGGGCCACGAGCACACTGCTCAGTGCCCAGCAGAGGAGTTGCCACCGCTGTGAAGACGACAAAGAGTCATGCTTTGACGGACAATTTATACTTTTGTGTTAAATCATCACCTCAAACCAAGGAATACTGATGATAGTAGCAACATGAGTGCTCACGAATGTAAGCAAATTCCTGGACGGAGATAACTTTAGCTATCAGAATGGACGTGAGGGAATGTACAAAGAAGTGGAAGAACTTGAGGGACAAATATATTTGCCTCTGTGGTGGGAGGATAAAAATATGACTACAATAAAGAGTGGGGACTCTGGGGCAAAAAAAAAGAAATATATTATAATATAAATATATATTATATTTGGTGTCAGCCATGACACCAAATATAAAACTAGGACAACCTCTGACAGGCAACAGTGTCAGACACCACTTACATAGGTTACATCTTAAACCTTTACAGAGATTCACTGCGGAAATCTAAAGCAGCAGTTACAGAGAGATCAAAAAGCAATTGCATAACAAAACCATATTCCTCGGCAAGTTCACAACTGCTTTATATGACAGCAATGGAAACCGATACATTTGTTTTTCAGAGTTGTCATTTTCTTCTTTTAGGTTATACTTCAACTATGTTTAAAGTTTTAAAATAGGCTAAACTAGCTCGGTTAGACCAAAAATAGAAAGTATGACTTTATCAAGCAGGACTCTTCATACCACAGAAAGGAAATTCAAGGCCAACTTCCTCAACTGAAAGTATGATTTCAATAAGACACTGCCCTGCAGGTTTAATTTTAAACAACTCTGTAAAGACGACAGGCAAAAGATCAGCTGTTAACCATGTCGGCTGAGTTCTAAGAGGTTTTTCAGAAAGTAGTGAGGGGTTTTTTGTTGTCGTTTTTTGTCTTGTGTTTCTATGGTGTATTGATTGTCATGTGCTTTTTGTGCTGAGGTTTTTTTTCTGTTATCAAACTGTTCCCCTCCCTAGGAGCGAAGTCTGAGTGGAGTTTTTTTCTCCTCCTCTCACCTCATGTTATGTATTTTCGTTGTTTGTTTCCTATCAGCCTACCTTTCTGACATGTCTCCCCAATGTGATGTTTGTGTAAAGTTGGTCAGAAGGTTCCTTTGTAAGTGCGCATGCGCCATTAGAGTGCTGCCTGCTGTAACCCTAATTTCCTTCTGGATTAATAAAGTATCCTGATTCTGAATCTTTACCTCAAGGTCCAATGAATTAGAAGCATAGAATTTTAACTCTAAAAAGAAGTTTAGTGATATTGTGGTATTTTTATTTGTAATTAACATTTAGTTTCGTAACAGCACCCTTGTCTCTCCATACTAATAAAGCTCACTTAAAACCAAGATAATTTACAAATCACTGAGGATTGTGGGTACCCAGCTATACTTTGCTAAGGTTTAACATTGGGGGGGGGGGGCTAAAACCCTATTAGCATGTCTATCTCTGGCATGACCACATCAGGGAAATTCAATTGCTCACTCGTGCATCACAATTGCAGAAGTAGGAATCGGGGGAGGTGGGTGAGGGGTTGTGTGTATAGCTCAATGCAAAAAAGAAGCCTTTACTGTTCTTCATGTTTGCTGAAGTGAAAAAGTGATGCAGGAAGGCATGTTTTGCATGCAGTGTTTCCCGTTTTGCCCATTAATGGTTGTGAAATGAAGATCCAAACTATCTGCATGTCACAAAACCTACATTTGAAAAATGTGACAAACTAAAAGTAAGCTTACACTCACTGATTATTGGATTTCAAGGCCAGTGAGCAGACTTGAGTGATAACGGCCAAGAATGTGCAACGAAGGACAGGCTGAACCAACAAACCTTCAATCACCAGCTACAGTGTATGCAGGGTCACATGCTTTTTATACAAAATGACAAGCTGTTCTGACGCAGACAACAGTAGAAATGGCCTGTTCTGCATTTTATGGCAAGAAAAAGTTTTACAGTAAGTCAACAAATTCTGTGTGACCTAAAAGCCTACATTTGGGTTTCTATAAAGCCAAGGAAAAAAAAGAAAGAAAGAAAAACAACAGAAAAACACTTGAGGTGAGTAATCACGATCACATGACACAGTAAAGCACAACAGGCTTTAAGCAGGATTCAGATTGGATTTTGCAATATCAGCATGTAACCTGCGGTATAAACCTGTTTAATGAGACAGGCTACACGGTTTTTGTGATGCAAACAACCAACTATCAGCAGAAAGTACACGACACATGTTAAACAATATGACTAAGCCCAAAACATGTGACATGCGGGAGTAGGAATGCTAATGCAGGAATGTGGATGTAAAAAACTGAAGTTAGTTTCACCTGGATTTCTGGGTGAAACCTAAGCAGTAACTACACAAAGCAAAGAAGTCTGTGTGTGAATAAAACAGCCCTGCCAATGGTCTGTAAGGAAACCAGGCTTCTGTCATGATAGTCCATAGTCCAAATGGCACATTTGGTTTCATTGCAGAAATAAACGGTTGGTATTGGTGACACAGTTTTATCACAATATAAGGATAAACCCATGAACACGACTCAAAGTGAAGCACAAGTATAGGTCCCGTTCCAAAATCCCCTAAAAGAAACAAAGACTGAAAAGAAAGTTTCAAATTCAACATTTCGGTGTGGGTGAAACGAAAGTGTTGCTTTAGCAGATCAAACGTAAACTTCCCCTTCAACATTACCAGTAGTCAACAAAGCACCAGCTACTGTACATAGCCTGGGCTAAACAGGGGTCTACAACAGTTAACTGACTGATCGGTTTTCTATTGTAGTGTTCTACCATATTTATACACGTAAACGCAATTTTTAGGTAACTGATGTAGCAACGTTAGTTAGCTGAAATAGCTAGTTAGCATTAGCTGAAAAGCTTGAGTTAGCACAGCTAAGGCCAACGGTAAAACAATAAACTTCAAAGTCACGCGGTTAAAGATTCACTTGACATCGCTTTAAATATGTCGATAAAACTTGTAGAATATTATTATTTATATATTATATACTGAAAACAAAATCCCAGGTTACTTTATTAATAAATAAAAAATAATTCCCGGTATACGCTTCCGCCTATTGATGTTAAAACGCACATAGTTACACAACCAAAAAGCTTGTTTTTATAGACCGACATCTGTCGAAATCAGGTGACCTATGGTGTTAAAAACGCACACACACACATATTATTTGTCTACTTCTGTTAATACTACCTGAGGACACCAAAAGAAGAGTTAGGAGCAGCATGACTGCGCTGTTTTCCGATCCTTGTGTTTGTGTTGGTTGTCGGAGAGGACTGACTGGAGAAGGGCGAGCACTGCAATGCAGAGCGTGAGGGTGTTGATGCCTTTATTGTTCACAGTCAGCTGATCGAAACATGTGACTCTCAGCCTACCATCATAGTACCTCGAAACGCCGATTGGGGTAGGGGAAATGCATGGTTTCTAAAGTGAGGGTTCCGTGGTGGGCCAAGAAAGTAGTCAACATTTTTTAGTTAATAAAGAATTTGAAGTTGAAAGTTAATCAAATAAATACATTTAGTTTTCATTGTTGAAATGTGGACAGAATATCGAGTAATCAAAATGTATGCATTTAAATTCTACATAAAAATTCCCCTCTTACCCCTGTGGGTGGGCCTATCGTTCAAGCTTGGGTCCTCTAGCAAAGGTCTGGGAGCTTGAGGGTCTTGCGCTCTTCTGGACGGAGATCTTGGATGTTGTTCCTGGAATCTGCTGGAGCCACTCGCCTAGCTTGCGTGTCACTGCACCGAGCACTCCGATTACCACTGGGGTCGCTGTTATCTTCACCCTCCACATCCTCTCGAGCTCTTGTCTGACCCCTCGTACTTGTCCAGCTTCTCATATTCCTTCTTCCTGATGTTGCTGTCATTAGGTAAAACTACATCTATCACTGTAGCCGTCTTCTTCTGCTTGTCCAACACTACAATGTCTGGTTGGTTAGCCATCACCAGTTTGTCTGTATCTGGAAGTCCCACAGCATCTTGGCTTGGTCATTCTCAAGGTCCCATTTTGACCTCAGCACTTCCACGTCATACTCGGCACAGATGTTCCTGTATACAATGTCAGCCACTTGGTTGTGGTGTTCCATGTATGCCCAGCCTGCTAGCATCTTACAGTCTATAATTATGTGCTATTACTTTTTTGTTTATTATATTTATATTATACAGTTGGATGCTAAAGTTTGGGCAACCGTGTTAATAGTCATTATTTTGCTGTATAAATCGTTGGTTGTTACAATAGAAAATGTCAGTTAAATATATCATATAGGAGACACACAGTGATATCTTGTTAGTGAAATGACGTTTATTGGATTTACAGAAAGTGTGCAATAATTGTTTAAATTTGGTCACTGTTGTCATTTTATTGACTCCAAAACCTTTAGAACTAATCATTGGAGCTCAAATTGGCTTGGTAAGCTCAGTGACCCCTGACCTACATACACAGGTGAATCCAATAATGAGAACGAGTATTTAAGGGGGTCAGTTAAGTTTCCCTCCTCTTTTAATTTTCTCTGAAGAGTAGCAACACGGGGGTCTCAAAACAACTCTCAAATGACCTGAAGACAAAGATTGTTCACCATCATGGTTCAGGGGAAGGATACAGAAAGCTGTCTTGCAACGACCCGAAACACTTCTCAAAACCCACTGAAGCATTCATGCAGAGGAACAAGTACAATGTTCTAGAATGGCCATTTCAGTCCCCAGACCTGAATATTATTGAAAATCTGTGGTGTGAGTTAAAAAGAGCTGTCCATGTTCGAAAGCCATCAAACCTGAATTAACTAGCAATGTTTTGTAAAGAAGAATGGTCCAAAATACCTTCTACCACAATCCAGACTTTCATTGGAACCTACAGGAAGCGGTTAGAGGTTGTAATTTCTGCAAAAGGCGAATCTACTAAATATTGATTTCATTTCTTTTTTTGTGGTGCCCAAATTTATGTACCTGCCTGATTTTGTTTAAGCAATTATTGCACACTTTCTGTAAATCCCATAAACTTCATTTCACTTCTCAAATATCACTGTGTCTCCTATATGATATATTTAACTGACATTTTCTTTTATTGCAACAACCAACGATTTATACAGGAAAATAATGACCATTAACAAGGTTGCCCAAACTTTTGCATCCACTGTATATACATAAAGACATCAGTTAAGTTGGCTGGCTGTTTTGTTAATAACCTGGTTAATTCAATGTTGTCTTACACAAAATAAATACCATGATTGTGTACTTATACTTTAATTGAGATTTAGGCAACAAATACTGCTCAACAAGGAACCAAGAAAGACCAGAGAGAAAACAGAAGCAACAACAAGCGGCTTTTTCCCCAGAGACAGTTGATCAAGTTTTAATGGCTTAAAAAAAACCCCTGCATAAGCCACACCTACAATAAAAGAACTGAAACTTCCATCACATGACTAACCATCATGTGAAGCAGTGTCTCAAATGCTTGACAAAAAAGGAAAAGTGCAAAATGGACAGAAAAAAGTATTTTATTATCACATATGATATTACATCCAAGTCGATGCATGCAGCTAATGAAATAGGTGAAAGAAGGAAGTGTCACATGATTCATCTTCTGCATGTGATCTGTTGGAACCTGCGAAAGACAGAGAACAAACATTATGTAGGGCTAAACGTTACAGCAGAGTCAGCATGAACCTAAGATAACACACTTAAAAATGTGCAGTGAGAGAATACTGAGCATACTAACAATATCGATGACTGACTTTGTGTTTGTCTACTGCGTGTAGACATGTTCAGAAATTTTGTCACTGATCAATAAAAGCTGCTGATGGAATTCTTTATAAGTTACATGTGATCTTGTATAGATTTCTATTCCTGTGGCTTCTGTTAGTGCATTTCAAGTTCACTCATGTGAGACTGCGGTGAAGGTTTTTTTCCATGAGATTTCTGTTTTACTGTCCGTTTCTCAATCAACAAGTCAGTTCGTTTAACATCAGTAGTATTTGATTGAGAAATACTAAGAAATACTTTAGTCTTGAGCTATCAGAAATATTCAGAAGAGAAAAAAGGCGAGTCTTTTCACAGTTGAGCAGCATGCAATATTTGTCAAAAGAACAAAACCTTTTTAAGTGTATTTGCGTGCCACATTAAAGTCAGATTTTGAACATCTTTTAACAATGTTAAAATCAAAACAATATTAACAAATGCAGCAATTCGTCCATCTATCCAACCATTTTCTTTCACTTATCCACTTATGTATCTTCTTGGAAGGTGTTCTGACAGTATTGCGTCTCCTGGATAAGGTAGATTTGGTGTGTGTGTTTAAGTGTGGTAGTGTAGCAGTGAGTGTGTGTCTGTAAAAAAAGCATGTGATGGCTGCAATGAAGAAAAGCGAGCTAATCGGGATTCTCTGAACTGAGGTTTGGCCTGTTATTTGATGCGACGTTTCCTGCTGCAGAACACAGATGTTCTGATAGCGTGGATGTAAATATTTAATGTTAATTGCTAATGTTAGAATAATTCAGAGGCCAGCTGAACAGGACTGGGTAATTGGTTCAAGTTTTATTGGCCAAATAAAACTGCTTTATATTTTAAAACATTAATAGAATGCAATTAATAGACTTTAAATAATTTCAATCTGCAAAATAATGTTACTAAAGCCTTGAAATAAATAGGGTGTAGTACACCCCATGCCCCCCCTTTAGACTCACCCCTGCTTACTGTTGGCATCAGTGTGACAGAAAGGATGGCTGTCGTCAACCTCCATTTGGCTGTCTTATTTAAACATTGTATGAGACTAAGTTAAAAGTTCAGTTGCATAAATATAATTTTATTGTCATTTCTGTAGCTTTATTGTAGATGTGTTGCTGTGTTAAGCAAACTGCAGTGGGTGGGAGCAGCTATAAAGTTCACTTTTCTTCCTGTTTGCACTTGTTGATCAACGGTTTTGATGAAGGACAGTTTTTCCCAGTAAAGGCCTTTGTGGTGATTACAGGAACAAGCACTGCTGTTTTGAACGCTCGAAACATGTTTTCGTTCACGCCACCTGATCGCACCATCTCTGCAACAGCTCCGCCCCGTGGCTTTTCTGTCTTATTTTAAAAGATATTTTTAATTGTCATTCTTTTTATTCACACATGTGATCCTAGATATGTTTCTAATGCAGGTCTGTTTTTAAATCACAAATGTGGGAGAAACACCTCTTCTTACATGGATTAAATGAAACATCGGAGAAAATAATTTCTCCTGTGGAAGTTTTTTAATGGAATTATCCGAGTTACAGCCCTAGTCAATATTAAAGTGTTGTGACAGGAGCAATTTTTCACCTCTGTTAACTGAAGGGAAGTGCTCACCTTTAATGACGAGCTAATCAGCACAGGAAGTGTACTTATTTCCTCCTAAATGTATCAGAGAACTCAAACAATAGTGTCTTTTGTTCTCTACAGTTTAAACAAAAGCATTCTGAAATAAAACACCACCGACCTCTGATAAGCAACCACTAGGGCTGTTCGATATAACGATATATATGGATGACAATATAAAAACATCTGTTTCATTTTACCTATCTTTTGTTTTGTGGTGTTGCAAAATAAACTGTTTACGGCAATATTTTTTCATCGTTCTGATGGTCACTGTAGTGGCTATATTAATTTCTTAAAGTTCTCTCTTTCTCTTAAATGTAATATAATCACACTACTGACGGACAAGCGCCTGTTTGTTGTGGTTAGCAACAGCGACGGTAACAACATCGGGTGTCCGCTTGTTTATGTTCCACATAAACCTTTCACAATAAAGCTCAAGATCCTGTTGAGACTTTTCAAAATAAACTGAATCACGTGAAAGAGCAGATTATTTACGGATGAGAAGTAAAAAAATAGAGCCGCCAGGTGCTAAAAAATAAACCTTAGACTAAAACATTAGAACAGCCAACCCGCAGCACGCCGTGTAATAAATACAAAGAAAACGGCGGTTACAACTTATGTCTAAAAATGTATAGTTTCATGCATCGGTTAAAACACTCGACTCCGGGTAAAGGACACGCAGCAGAATTCACAGAATTTACAGAAAATGTTAAATTTTTGTGATTTACATCGTTATCGGGACGATAGAATTCTTATATCGGGATATGAGATTTTGGTCATATCGCACAGCCCTAGCAACCACCACTGTCGATCAACACAAATACTGATGCATAGTATTGTGGTTATATTAGAGCACCACAACGACTGTATTAAAAGGTCCGTTCAGACTTAACAGTAAAATCCCCTACTCCCAGTTCCTGTTGATTATAGCATTTTAACTATTAGTTTAATTAATCACTTCATGGCGAAAGAATACAGACACTTATTAGTAGAGGCTGAAAGATTTATCAGTCAACTGTAATTATCAGGCATTATTGTCCTATCACACATACTTCTGTTGGAATATATGTAGTGAAGTTATTATAATATCATTGTGTATGCGTACATGTCTAGTTAAATCCATTTCAGACAAACAGATGGAGGGAGGAGAAGGGGGGTGCTTATCTGTTTTCAAGAGGCACGAGGGAGCTCAATATTTTTACTTTAATGGTTTTCTGGAAAGAATCAATCATTTAAATCCTGATTAAATTGCTTCAACAATGACACCTGCAGGCAAGGCGAGAGATGACAGGGCTGTGTCTGTAGGTGTAGGGGGTAGATGAGGAGGACAGCACAAACTCAGGACCTCTTATTAGAGCTTAATACATATCTATGTTTGTCTGGAGGATCTCATGTGGATCTGCTGTTGTTGCAGACATGCAAAACGATCCTCCCTTACAAATCAGCAAGCAAACAAAATAAATACAGACACTGTGTTTGTGCAAACTAATCTTATATGAACCGAATGTATGAACTTGTAGTAAAGTAATACACTCACATATTACAGGGATGGTGACTAATGAACTGATCATTTATTTAGAGGATTATCTTTGTGTTTGGCTACTTCATGTGTAATGGTCATGTCCACAAACACACAACTGAAATACTTCTGTAATATTCATTCACATTTTTACACTCCTGCCTCATTTTCATGATAAGTTAGTTTGCAGTCACTAAAGCTATAAAGCAAACAACTGGTTTAATGAATTTGGTTAATTTGTTTTAATACATTATCACACTATATCATATTCCTTTCTGGTATGAGCAAGCGAGGAGGCTGAGGGTGGAGCTGGTTTAGGTACAAAGTTTACAACCAAATGGACTTAACCATCTGTTGTAACCACATGGGGGAGTTTGTTTTTTCTAATTATTGTCTCTGTGCAGCGATGATGCACAGAAAAGAAGGTCAGACACCAACTAGGGAGAATCAGAAGGACAAACGGAACAATACTGTCATCCCTTATGTAGCAGGTTTATCAGAGAAACTCAGGAGTCTTCTCCAAGCACAAGATCCCAGTGCACTTCAGACCCAGCCACGCACCCAGACAAAAACTGGTTCATCTCAAAGACAAAACTACCAAACAGAAACTTAACAACGTGGTGTATGCTGTACACTGCAGCGAGGAATGCTTTGGACAGAGAAGACAGATGGTTTGAAAGAGGAGTGAAAGAAGCCATCTATGTCCACTGTGAACATGAGCAGGGCTTACAAAACTAACTGTCTGCCATCTATAATCCAGTTTTGAGGTTGGTATGTCTGTGAAGGTTCTCAGTCATCCAGGTTATCGTAGTCTAAGGAGCTTGTACAGAACAGCGTCTGGACTTCTTAAAGTTGCTTGAAAAAGTTTCACCTCTCATTCAAGAAGCTTCTTCACTTCTAATGTCAAATGGTGGAGAGTCCCATATTCAAGTTTTATGGGAGTGTCCCCCTAAGAGGGACATGGATCCCCTAATGTCCACTGTGAACGACCCTCTTTGAACAGAGCCCGTGGCTTACAACACCAACTGTCTGCCATCCAGTTTTGAGATCCCTTCTCAGACGCCTTAAAGCCCACTCACATCCTGGGCCTGTTGACCTCAGAAAATAACATGATAGGGTGAAGCCTTGGCTGATTGTGACCTACACCCGTTTTCACACCTTTGCTCATGCGATTAGGTAGAGGATCATTAGGGGGTCCATGACACTCTTGGGGACACTCCCATAGGGCTTAAAATCTGAGACTCTCCACCAATTGCGCTTAGAACTGAAGAAGCTTCTCAGATGAAGGGTGAAACATCTTCAAGAAAACTTAAAGAAGTCCAGACAGATGACTGAGAACCTTCACAGACATATTGTCCGTTTTTTTTCTTTTCTTATGTGTTTAAAATGCTTTAAATCAGTTACTAGAGGTTGTATTCGGTTGCTTGTTCCCTGATATCCATGGATCACAGAAGTGACTTTTCCCCTCAAATACACAACGGTATTCCTTTCTGTCTGGGCTATTTAAAGGTCGAATTAATCATCAGTGCTAAAACACTTTATTACATGCATGCTGTGTGTGTGTGTGTGTAAGCGATTTTCTTCAAGAAACCACTGATAAGTTTTCACTACTGTAAAAACTAACCTTCTCTTTGTCCTCCTTCTTGGGCTGTACATGAACAATAATGGCGAACTCACAAATGCAATAATCTAACTGTAATGGTTGATTTTCTTCAGATTTAACATTTTTCTGACTCTAGACATCGATTGGGGCTCTACATTAACTGCTCAACTGTGCTTCTGATTGGAGTTAAGTGGCCAATAAAGCAGAGTATTTCATATTTTACTACAGCCCAAAAATACACGCATGTAACAGACAGATGTGGTGATAAAACAGCACTTTGTTTCACTCTGAGCACCAGTGATTTTAAACACCTCCGCCATTCATTAAGCCTTACATTTAATCACTTCTGGGGTCCGCAGCAGTTACTGTTGGGGACCTGGGCGTCTTTCTTCAGCACAGTGGGCCTCACAACGTCCACATCACGGTGCAGGTGATCCATTACGCTAGAGAGCATGCTGGGAGCTGCGTAGAAATCCACCAGAAAGTAAGTCCCTCGGCTGTGCCTCTGGTTGTGTTTGGTCATTCTGTAGGGCAGCTGTCTTTCTCCCAAGTTCTCCAGGTCTCTCACCAAAGCGCCCCGCTCCATTAAGGTCTCCACCGTCCTTCGCAGAGCTGCCGCCGTCTCCGGCCGCTGCATCTGTTTCAGGATCAGGGCCAGCTCGTACCGAGGCATGGCTGCAGCGAAGTAATACCCGACTCACACGTTTAATCCAGCTAGAACTGGGCTGTCATTGCCACACTGCTCAGTTGAAAGGCGACATGTTATGACACGAGGGGCACGAAAGGGCTTTAGTGATGACGCATAAAGCGTGCGCCTTCGTGGACAACAAAGCTTACTAAATATAAAAAATAAGAGTCATTTATTTTTTTTAAAATGTGGCGTTAAATCTATAAATAAGTGTATTTCAATAATAAAAATTCGCACCTTATTTAGCATATCCACATATTTTACTCGTATTGTTTTAGGAAATTAGTCACGTGAGAGCAGCCCGAAATATTTGTACGGTTTTTTAAAGGATTTTTAAAATTACAATTAGTCAGTAGAATTGTGTTTTATTTAGTTTTCTGACATTTGGAAACCTTTAGAAACTGGTATTTATTTTTTTTACTGAAGCGTGGATACGTCGACACCAAGCGCCTGCTCACAAGTGCCTGATTCCGTCACTTCCTTTTCCAGAAGAACGTGTTGAAGATGGCGGCGGAGAAGTCGGTACCGAGTGATCTTTTCAAATGCGTGTACTCGTTTCTGGTGGAGAACAAGTTCACCAAGGCGGCTCGGGAGTTCTTGAAACAGACTAAAGTGGTGAGTAGCCTACGCTGTGTGGCGGTGTGTGACGGACACGTCCTGTCGCCGGTACTAGACGTTAGGTCCAGGCGGCACGAGGGGTAAATACGTACAGGTTACCGAGCCGGTGAAGTTAGCAGTTAGCACGTGTATCAGCTGCAACCTGCTTTTGAGCTAATTAACGGTCTCAGCGCGTTAAAGTGTAAATACTGCAGCGTGTTTATACTTTTTAAATTATGATTTGTGGAGTTTTAGTCACAAATTCAAAGTGCTGCAATTATTAACTTACTACTTCACGTGTTTCTCTACAGGCTCCGCAAGATCAGAATGAGGAGAGACTCGTCAATATCTACAACTTCTGGGTGAAGTGAGTTGCTTATTAATATTTTTTTTTTTTATCCGAGAGGGGTTTTTCAAATGAAAATATGAAACACATGACCAAGCTGACTTTCTGTGTCGATAAGTATGTTCCTTTAAAAATGTATTGGTACAATAGAAATTCCACTGCTGCTCTCCTAGTGTCCAAGGGTCTGTTAACACTCGTTGAGTTTGAGGATTATCAGAGAAAAATCTAATACAATATAAACACAACCTTTTTGTTGTTTTACAAATTTAAAGTGCTTTTTGTTTAGACAAATGGGAAATGAAATGGTTCTTATATAGCACTGTACTACTCTACTTGAATATTCAAAGCATTTTATTCAACATGCCAAAGAATAGTTTACCATGCAGAGTGGAGGGATTCAACCAGTCTCTCTCTCACTAACTCAGTGTTCAGTTTTTTGCCCAAGGACACTTTGGTATGCAGGCTAACAACTAAAGCATTATTATTTGCACATCTTTCTACTCTGGGAAAGGGAGTGCCTTTTATCCCATTGAAGTTTTTTTTTTTTATGTTAATATAGGGTGGTGTTGCATACTGTGTGTTAATATAATTATGGGCTGTATCATTGAAACTCTATTTTAAACAGATCTCCCGAAGCCAAAAAACGAAAGGTGCCTCCGAACTGGACGGGTCCGTCAGCCAAGAAGGCAAAAGCCAGCACTGAGAGCTCCAGCAGTGAAGAGTCAAGCAGTGAGGATGAAGAGGCTGGCGCAAAACAAACTAAAGTAGCTCCTGCAGGTATAACCTTCATATTTGATATGGATAACTGAAAAGGTTGGCTGAATTCTGCTAGTAATGTGCATTCTGAAACGCTGTGATATTACATTTTTCCTCATTCTACATTTTAGCAGCCAAAAAGGGGCCTGCTAAAGCAGCAGCTACTAAAGCTGCATCCAGCAGCAGTGAAGACTCTAGTGACTCTGAGGAGGACAAAGCTCCTGCAAAGCCTGCTGCAAAGGTAGAAGGGAAGCATCAGAATCAGACATTCTCATGATAGCCTGTTATTGCTACATTACCTTGCCTGTTATCCTTTTATTAAAATGTAGTGTCTGTTTGTAGGCACCTGTGAAACAACCTCCTGCTACTGCAGGTAGCACAAGGAAAAAGGATAGCAGCTCCAGCAGTGAAGAGTCTGACTCTGAGGAAGAACAAACCGCCAAAGCTCCTGCACAAAGTAAGTCTATATTGAGTAATTTGTTTAAGTTCAGATTGGGAAAATCTTGGGTTATTTAATTTACTGTATGCATTTCTGAATAACAGAACCCAAGGCTGGTGCAGTCACAACACCCAAAGCAGCTGTTGCTGCCAAAGGTGCAGCTCAAAAGAAGAAGGAGAGCAGCAGCAGCGAAGACAGCTCCTCAGATTCTGAAGATGAGAAGCCAGCCAAGGTACACAGGGCCTTCTTTATGTTGTTATGTGTTGTTGATTGTCTCACACTCAGCCAAGTGTGGTGTGTATCGGATAAATGCATGCAGCAGATATTAACAGCATATTTCCATGTGTTCTGTCAGGCTCCAGTCAAACCGGCTCCAGTCAAACCAGCCCCAGTAAATAAAGCTGCTGCTGAGTCAAGCAGTGAAGACTCTTCATCAGAGGATGAGGCTCCTCCCAGCAAAAAACCCAAAGCAGGTGTGTTTTCATGCTTTCTTACAACTATACAAGCTGCACAGTAACAAAAGTCTGGTTTGAAAAGATGTGAGGCACACTTGCATCAGCGACAAACCTGGGAAGTGAATCCCAATCAAGTCTTTTTAGCCTATTACTGATGTGCGTAAGTTCGACAGCTATATAAAAAAATAAGTGAGATTGAGTTCACGTTAATTACAACAGTCCAGTTTTGTCCATATCATGATCATAACACCAGTCTGCTCTGACTGAATTATACCCAGAGCTGTTCACTTGGTCATCTCTGGAATGATCTGTGATTATCAGAATTAGAATACTTTGATCCCTAGGGGAAATTATTTATTAAAATATATTTGTATTTGTTTTTAATGCTGATGATCTTCATTTGTCCTTCTAGGAGCATACAGTGCTGTACCACCTCCTGCTTCAATCCAGAAAGCTCCTGCTGCACCAGCAGCAAGCAAGACCAAGGACAGCGACTCTTCAGACAGCAGTGATGACAGCAGTGATGACGACAAAAAGGTGGCAGGTAAGTGGGCTCCTTTTTTCTTTTTCTTTTTTTCTTCCCCCACCTTGACTTCTTGGTGTTTATTGTTGGATGTCTAACAGCATTTTAACTTGCACAGCAAAACCAGCCCTCGTAAAGTCACCTGCAGCCAAACCTGGAGCGTCCAAACCTGCTGCAAAGAAGCAGGAGTCCAGCTCAGAGAGCTCTGGTATGGATCACAAACGTCACTCGCTCATTTCCCATCTTAAAATGATGATCAGTTTGTGACAGTGAATGTTTGTAAATGTCTCTCATCTTTCTAGATTCCAGCTCAGAAGAGGAGACTGCTAAGAAGCCTGCAGGTAAAGCAGCCCCAGTCAAACCTTCTCCAGCTAAAGAGGTGAAGAAACCTGCAACAAAGGTGACTCCTGCTAAAGCGACTCCAGCTAAGTCCGCTAAAGATGAATCCTCCGAGGAGGACTCCAGTTCAGAGGAGGAGGAGGCAGCAAAGAAACCCCCAACCAAAGCTGCACCTGCCAAGACTACGCCAGCTCAGAAAGACGAGTCCTCGAGCTCAGGTAGGAGATGCACATTTTGGGTATTTGAGCTTCAGAAGTTAAATATGACCTAATATAATTTCTGATATTAACCCTATATTGTTTGCAAACCTTCATGACAGCATTGATCTTGCTTTCCAGATTCAGATAGCAGCTCTGAAGATGAGGCCCCAGCAAAGCCTCCCACAAAAACCGCAACCCCATCCGCAGCTTCTGGAGCATCTAAACCCCAAGCCAAGGCAGCAGAGACCAGCTCTGATTCGGAGGACTCCTCTGAGGATGAGGAAGAGCCAGTGAAAGCCAAGCCTGCTAAAACGGCTACACCAACTTCAAAGCCTGCAGCAAAGCCCCCTGCAGCAGCAGAGAGCAGTTCAGAGTCTGACTCTTCGTCTGAAGATGAAGAAGAGCCTGCTAAGACTAAACCAGCAGCAGCTAAGCCAGCTTCAAAGAGTTCCACCCCTGCAGCTAAGCCTGCTGCTGCAGCAGAAAGCAGCTCTGACTCCGACTCATCATCAGAAGATGAAGAACCGGCCAAGGACAAGCCAACAGCAGCTAAGCCTGCAACACCAGCTTCAAAGAAGGCTACTCCGGTAGCAAAGGCTACTCCTGCAGCAGAGAGCAGCTCCGACTCTGATTCCTCCTCTGAAGATGAAGAGCAGCCAGCCAAGGCTAAACCTGCAGCAGCTAAAGCTGCTACTTCAGCCTCAAAGCATGCTACACCTGCAGGAAAGGCTGCTAAACCTGCAGGAAAGCCTGCCCCGAAAGAGAGTAGCTCAGAGTCCTCTTCTGAGGATGATGAAGAGCCAGCTAAGACCAAGCCAGCAGCAGCTAAGCCTGCTACGCCCGCTTCAAAGCCCGCTACTCCTGCAGCTAAGACTGCTGCTGCAGAAGAAAGCAGCTCTGACAGCTCAGACTCAGAGGATGAGGCAGCTAAGAAACAAGCTCCAGCTGCTGCCAAGAAGCCCGCTCCTGCAGCTGCGAGAACAACAAAGGCAGCGCCTGCAGTCAAAAAGGCAAAAAAAGCAGAGGAGAGCAGCTCTGATTCCTCAGATAGCTCTGATTCAGAGACGGAGACCCCTGTGACTAAGCCTACAGTTGCCAACGGCAAGGCAGCAACTCCCAAGACAGCAGCAGCGTCAGCGAAGGCTGCAGCAAAGCCAGCAGAGTCATCATCCAGCGACAGCAGCTCTGAGGAGAGTTCATCAGATGAGGCTAAAGTGCCACGTAAAGCAGCCACTGCACCCAACACCCCAAAAAACAGTAAGTCTCAAACATCTGGTCATTAAATGGGGAAAAAAAACTATCACTTAACTGTTGGTCCTTAAGTGTTTAATATTTATAAAAGTGTAGTGTTTACTAAGTATGAGCACCTTTTCATCTGATACAGGTACTAATGGAAAAAGAAAAAAGGATGAAGAATCATCAGAAAGCGAAGAGGAAGAAACAGATTTAAAAACACCAAAAAATAAGAAGGCCACAACCACACCACAGACTTTCCCTAAAGCCAATAAGAAGGTAAGACCTGCACAAAGCTAGAATTGAATTAAAGTGAATTGAAATAAGCTGACTGAAACATTTTGTTTTCCAGTCTACCAACGTACCCTTCCGTAGAATAAAAGACGACGAAGTAAATGTGGACCCGCGCCTTGCAGACAATTCGTTTGATGCAAAGGTGAATTATTTAATCATAATAATAATTTTTACAGGATTACTGAGCATTATAGTTGTTGAGGTGGCAGATAAACAATTTTTTTTTTCTCTCTTCATAATGTTCTATTTCAGATGGGAGCCAATGGAGACTGGGGCCAGAAAGCTAACAATGTGCTCAAGTTCACAAAAGGCAAATCATTCCGCCACGAAAAGACAAAGAAGAAAAGAGGAAGCTACCGCGGGGGAGCCATCTCCACTTCAGTCAACTCCATTAAGTTTGACAGCGACTGAGAAAGTCCACAATCTCCCATTTCAACTGTACTGTACCGGACAGATCAGGAATACAAGTTGTCTGCTCAAACCACCCTCCTGTAAACAGTCTCCCCAGCAGTAGCAGCAGCACACTAACAGAAGATGGTCCATCACACTGAACTGGCCCTTTGATTCAACTTTGCTTTAGTCTGTAATGGAGTTTACTTTTAGCAGAGCTGTGGCAGCAGGGAAATGTGCTCCCAACTGTGACATTACTTATAGCCACTAGGTGGCTGCAGCCACTGGCTAATGGAGAAAATGTTTGGCTCTTTCTGCTTGTTTTCACAACCTTCTTTCTTCTTAAATGGTGAATGTTTGTAACATTAATCAATTTTCTTGTCTAGGTATGATCGAAATCAATCCATCTATACGTGTTCTTCATTTTGGGTTAAAATTTGTTTTTTGTTTAATAGACTACATGGATTTTTGATGTTTGTCTCTTTTTTTTTTTTCTTTTTTTTTTTGGTCCACATTTAAATGTGAAGAGTTTTGGGGCTTTTTCTTAACATCACAAGAAAACCTATCAAGTGGAAATTTTATACTGTATTTATTATGTTTTATTCCACTTGAATCTTTAAGGGCCTCTCAAGGTCTTTTTTTTTTCTCTGTTCAAGGATTTATTTTCTTTCCCTCCGTTAGGAAGTCCTTTCAGTCCCTCCCTGTACTGTTCAGTGGTATTAAGTATGTAATTCGAACATAAAGCCATGCTTGTTTCAGTTATTTGATTATCGGATGAGATCCTGTGTACCACTGTCTTTTTTTTTTTTTTTCACACCTCAATCTGTAAATAAAGATTAAACAATATACTGGTGATGATTTCATGGACAGTTTGCTCACTCTGTTTGCTCAGCTGACAGTTTTACGTGTGCACAATTGGAGAGGAATTTTTAGTATCTGCACATACCAAGTTGTTGTGTGTGTGCTGATATTGTTGTTGGCAAATTAACAGTCTAGAAAGTACACATTTTTAAACTTTGTTAAGCCTTTAAACCCTGAACTGTGGAATAACAGCCAGAAAAAATTATTTTCTTTTTAAATGGAGTGCTTATTAAACCTTCAAATGAAATAAATCAATTTGCATATGTTTACATTTGTATCATATTTGCTACATCAGGCTTTATTTTTTGCAACTTATTCTTTAGAAATGTATTTTACAATTGCCACTAGGTGGCAGTGGAGTAGCACTGCCCTCAGCATGACGTTTAGTCAACGTATGTAAACTGTCACCCGATTCCTCGGGGCAGTTTGTGTCCAGACAGCTCATTTCCTGTTTGTTTTTTTTCATCTGTTGAACACAGATGCATAAGTCTGTCATCTCAAATGAACTGAGGCCTGTTAGATCAGCATGTACAGCTAAAGGGATATTACAGCAATTTAGCAACACTCTGAAAACAGAGATAAAGACTCAGTTCTACACACCATGTACTGTCCATGCTTAGATTTCAGGTTTTATACCAGATGATCAGGGATTTTTTTTTCTCAATTTAAAAAAAAAGACCATTGGAGATGTTTGGGGTTTTTTGTGTGTTTATTTTTCTTTTCTTTCTTTTTTAAGCACTTATCTAGATTGTACACAAGGGTGGGGACAAGCCTATCCCAGCTGTCATAAAGTGAAAAGGTGCGCTACACCCAGGGCAGGTCACCAGTGTCACAGTGCTTTGGGAGGAAACCAGAACAGGCACAAACTCCACACAGAGAAGCTCGAAACTACCAGGTTTCAACCAGAAAATTCCTTGCTGTGAGGCTAACCACTGCTCCACTGCACTACCTAAATTTTCCCTGATAGGGTAGCATAAATAAGTTCAGTATTACTGTACCTCATCTGGGTTGGTATGCATGAAAAATTCTCAACTGAAATGTTTATCAATATATTTTTATAATGTAATCACATTTTCCTGTTAAAGAAACTCAGACATGACCTCACCTGCATACAAGCAGGTTCCCCTCTGGGACATTAAACTATACATTTATCTGTATTTTACAGTGAACTTTACATGAACAGCTGAGTGGCAGTGTTGGCAGTAAAAACTTGTTCTTGACAGCAGTGGCTGTAAAAGATTTCTGGTTTGCATCAGAAAATGACTGAATATTTCATCTTTCCCTGTAAAACTCTACAAACAGCCTTTGGTGAAAAGTGGATTAATCGCAGTGGATTGGCAGATATTACTCTAGTCAGTGACTGTTTAAATTATTTTTACATTTTATCCTCTTAACTCCTTATGCTCAAGTGGGGAAAGTGATTGCGAGACTAAATAATTTGCAGCCGACTAGCTGATCTCTTATTCTTATTGCAGAGTATATTTTTTCATTAACTCATAATAATATCTGGCAGATAGGAAACCGCATATGACCAAATGAATAATATACTCTCTGGTTTCAGTGCAAAAAGCTTCAGGCTTAGACTGAATGAACAATGCACACCCCGTGCATACAGCTCATATGTACGTACAAGGAGTAAATACTACATGAACCCAATGCACAAAAAGAGCTGTTGACTTATGATCGAGGTCTGCAGTCACTCCAAAAATAGCCTCCTTTGCAAGCCTGGCAACTGCTAACCACTGAGCAATGCTCCAGCGCTCATCAAGCAGAGAAATCTGACAGAGCGTGCTTGCTCGAGGTTTTACATGGATGAACTGTTGAGAAGTGGTTACTGCAGAACGGTTACTGGGCAGTTTTTGAGCACGGATGTAGCTGCTGTTGCACTTGGAGGCTCTGTGCAGCAGCAGTGGGTCAGGAGGTCCTTCAGGGAGTTTTAGAAAGTAAAAGGAAATAGTGTTTTGCTTTGCAGGTTTTAAAGCTCATCATTTGTTGATTTGGGATAAGTGCTTTGAAATTGAATAATTAGGAAAAGGCAGGCAGGCCGGCCACAGCTTTTAAAATGTCTTTTTTAGAATTTCAACATTTCTTCGGACTGTTGGGCAAACATGATCTTCAGCTGTATGGGGAAGGAATTACCACAGGCCTTCTTATGGGGAAGGAAGTGCTGCAGAGCAAAACAGCACAGAAGATAGAATCCGAACATTTCTTTTTGGGTCTACTTTGCAAGCCAAACAAATCAATAAATAATTTGATTAAATGAAAAGAAAAGTTTCACAAAGTTGGATATGAGACTTTCCTAGTTAATGTTAAAAGCTGGCATAATGAAGATGCATGACTTTCACTGGACAGCCATTCTATGATTAAAGCAGAATGTAAGTGATGCAATGTTAAAAGAAAATAATTTTTCCACTTCTGAGCAATTGAAATGCCAGACAGAAACTCTGAAAAGACCATTGGTGAGGAATACTGATGAGAGGTCCACGTACCTGATCTCCTGCCTAGCAATCACTCCTGAGCACCACTTCCGTCTGTCAGTCGTATTACGTGCGGCAGAGCGAGCCAGCTCGTTCGGGTATATTGCAGCAGTGTGTGTGCACAAAGGGCTGCAGGACAATCTTTTAATGGGCAGCGGAGGCTGAGGACTGCCCATCCTGTCCATTTCAATTAGGCAAAAATGCTGACTACTCTTGCGCATAGACACACACAGACACACAATAATTTTCTGCGTCTGGAATGAAGTCAAAGCCAGGGGTTACAATCGGCCATGCGTTTTTGCCTAAAAAGTCATTACACTTGACAAATGACTTCCCAGGTGCCCCAACAAATAGTCATGCTAATCCCTCCCACTGTGCTGTTAAAGAGGGAAAATGGGAACGTGGCAAGCAGAACTCTGTTATTAAGAAATAAAAAGCTTAATCACCATTACATTATTGTAGCATCTTTAATAGAGTTCTTCTTTTAACATCTGTTGTATATAAAGTGTTTCCATGGGGAATAATAATGCTAAGAACACAGGGTAAGATGAGCATACTTAATCTTTTATGGGACAACATTATAGGAATAAAGATGCAGACTGAGTGAAGAGGTGCTAACGACATTACAGACGTCTGCTTTGTCCCACCAAAGAAATATCCAGGCTATGTTAACAGCGTAGAACAGATATACTGCAGCCTTTATACAGCTGAAGGTCAAACTAGATTGATTCATCTTTTAGTCTTGCCCTTTTGCTGTAAAATGCATTAAATACAGAAGAGCAAAGTGGTGTTTTTAGCACTTAACAAACAGATGCACCGTTCTGCATTCCTTTATAAAATATGAAAAAAAAAAATCAAACATACAAACTTTGTATATTTTCAAACATACAAATACCCATGATGCCTCAGGCAGGCACACTAGAGAAGCCTTTCAGGACACAGTGCACTGCGTCAGGATGCTTCAGCCACAATACTGATAGCTGGAACTACAGCAACATGCGTTAATGATTGATGATGAGCTGCAGTCTTAATTGTCTATTAAACTTCTTAAAACCCGTCCAAGCCCTATACACCTGCTGTCTTCCGCTCTCAATTGCAACTGGTCTCCTGTGACATTATGTCTTCGGTGTGGCAAAATCCCAGGCGGTATCCTGGGCACACTTCCACATGGCACGCACAAGCCGAGTGAAGCCCATGTCTTTGGGTTTCTCCAGCCCACGCATGAGCCGCTGCTTCATGATGGCTATGAACTCCTTATTACTAAGCTCCCCATTCCCTAAGGAAGACAGACAGAGAAGGAGAGAAGGGGGAGAGGGGTGATGGACAGGGGAGCGTGATGATGAAATAATAAAAGAAGAGTAAGTAAGACGAAGGAGCTGACTTCCATTTATTGATGATTTCTACCTCCGGAGGCTTTATTTGTGTTTCATAAATATTTAGAGCAGAGAGATATGATGAGACTGTCAGCTACTTACCATCACAATCAAAGAGCGCGAACACCACGTCGCACACGTGATCCGACAGCTCCACTTTTGCTACGGTGCGTGCCACCTGCTTCATGGTGACTGAGAGAGAGAGGGAGGAAAGATACACAGATAAAAAGATTCACTGTGAGAGCAACACAGGCACAGACTCACACATGTCAGCACATCAGCGGTGCAAGTAGAGAACAGTGTGTGCAAATCAGACTGCTCTGGATCAATAAAAAGGGTTTCAATTCGCTGGGGAGGCTATCGGATGGACACATGAGAGAAAGAAGGGGCTGAGAGGAAAAGAAAGAGCGGACCGCTACAGGAAATCCAGCTGGGAATGGAACTGGACTGAGGAAAATATGGAGGATGTGAAAAGACCGAGAATGAGGGAAAAAACCCAAAACAAGGAGCATAAACACGCAGTGTCAGTTTAATCAGGATTTACCAATAGTCACAAATGGAGGAGGGCAGGTATGAAAGACGAGTGGGGGTGAACAAATAAAACGTGACAAAAATTTCCCTGCAAATTGTAAGAGAAAAAGATGAGCCAGCACGCCATCGAGAACCTCATTACTGGCCTTCTTTTATATATTCGACAAAGCCATTGTGCAGATCCAGATCGCACACCCACACATGAGAAACTGTTCTGAAAGGGTGTGAAATCAGTGGACTTGAGTGCAAGATGAAAGCAAAGGAAAAGAGAGTAACAAAGACATTAAAAAGCTCAGCTGAGACACGAGCTGCTTCGGGCTCGAAGAGGAGAAAAACGGTTTCTGTTCATGGACGGCAGCAGGGTGCAGAGAGTTCGCAGACATGTGTCTGCCAGCTCGCTGTGAACCCACAGCATCCTCCCAAAGCCGCTTTATGCGAAGTCAAAAACACACTGATACACATACGCGGTTTGTTACTGTGCAGAAATGCCACTGAAACCAAATGCCTGAAAAAGCACCTCGGGGTAGACCCTTTGCTCCCTTAACACAGCAGCTGCTTCATAAATGAATCAGAACAAATGGATGCACAGACAGAAACATATGGAGGTCTATTGATGGA